TTTTCTCATGGACAGTGAATATAACAGGTGAAGTGAGTTCATCACCTGCGTAGGAACTGACATGAGATGGAGCCCTCTGTCTGGAAGCACCTTCCACTACCCACACTGAAATGAGTACTTCAGATGCTCTTGCTTACACACTATTTAATGAGCTGTAAGTTCCTGAAGGCAGAAACCAGCTCAAAGATGGCACATGGTATTGATTATCAACCATGCTGAGCTAAAATGATGACATTTTCTACAGTTAAGAAGAAAGCAAATATTTGATTTCCCCTGTTGTAACCACCAGGTGGCTGGGCTGATGACAATATTACATGAGCGAAAGCACTGGCTTCTGGTTAAAGTGGAAACCATGAACTTTTCTGTCATGGGGAAGATAAGAAGGCAGGCTTTTGACCTAGGCAAAGCAGGTTTGTAAACAGAGAGGAATGAGGGAAGTCATTGACTAAAGTTACCTTCATCAGCAGATGCTGTCAGGTGGGAAGGCTTGAAAAAAGCACTGTCAGCCTCAGGATGTGGAGAAGTGGCAGAACTCTTAGAGCCTGTAGGCAGAGACATCTGATGACAGCATCCTGAGAGCAGCACCTGTTTTTCTGTTGAGGTCAAAGAGAAGTCACAAGTCTTTTTACTTGAGCCATGGGCAGAGGCGCTGCCAATGGAGTCCACGGTATCCTCAGACAATGATGTCTCTGCCAGGGAGTTGCCAAGTGATGACAGTGAAAAGCCCAAGGGAGAGGTGGCATCTGCCACCAGGTGGTTCCTGTTGTCCCCCACTGTTGGCACCTGCAGGGGCAACTCCTGCAGCTGTTGCTGCACGCACTGGGTGTTAATCCAGGCAGCTTTGTGCCTTGTGAGCCTGATGTCTAATTGGCAAGCGGGGTGGTCAGTGTCCAGGAAGCTGGAAGAAACCTCAATATTGCCAGAGTCATCACTGATCCCTTTCCAGGGGTTCACAGGGGAATCCTGCCGGCCCGTAGACTGTGACACCATCTTTCCAGGCTTGGGGCTGGTGTGAATCCACTCAAAACAGTTCTCTGATGGTTGTTGTACTACTTGATTAGGGCCTTGAACTCAACACATGGTCAGCTAGGGAGCTGAAGAGCTTTTCTGCTGTGAGCAAGAATCATTCATAATAAATAAGGGTTCAATAGTTGTGACTCCAAATTATTTTGAGGAGAAAAAAAACAAACAAAATTTAAAAGTTTAAACTTTATTCAACACAGTAAATTCCGCTCAGATTTACAAGTCAAAAAAATAAATAAAACTATTTATAAGCAGCCATAAAACTAGCAGCATAAAACTAGGGGCCATAAAACTAGGGCCAGCCCGGTGGCGCACTGCTGCAGTGCGCCACTTGGGAGCGTGGCGGCGCTCCCGCCGAGGG